ATAGTTCACCCAAATATGAAAATTTGCAGGAAAAGTACTCATTCTGAGTCCATGCAAGATGTAGATGAGCTTATTTCTTCATCTGAACAGAATTGGAGAAATTTTAGCATGACATGACTTGCTCACCAATGGATCCTTTGCAGTGAATGGGTGCCGAATGCAATGTGTTTATGCTGTTTAAGGTTAAAAAAACACATTATTTTCCACATACTGTACATTATTGTTTCTCCTCTATGCCCCGCCTTTCTGAAACGCGTCGATTTTTACAAAGCTCATCGGTCTGAAAAGCGAGGTGTGCTCTGACACGCCGAATACCTCAAGCGTGTGACGGAAATGTTACGCCCTTACCATACTGTGATGCCCTGTCCGGCCGGAGCGAAGAGACAAAAACATTAAAACCCATTATAAGCGAGGCATTTGTTGCATCCAGTGGGGACATAATTACGGATTATAATGACGTATACTGTCTTTTTACTCGGTGCGTTGCATCGCGCCACGTAAACATTAAACCATGTCTGCATTTGTGATCGGAGAAATGACAAACAACAAGTGCTACTTTACTCTGCTCAAAACTCGCGTTTGAATCGTCAGTGGTAAATTCTCTATATAAAAAAACTTACTTGCAGTCTATGAGTTAGAACAGCCGGTATTGTGGTCTACTCTACCAGGATCAGGAAACAGTCCTCCATAAAATGTGCTGCACACATCTGAATATTTGGGTTGAACTGTTCTGGAACAGTGTTGTAAATACAACTTAACCACTGATTTCTAGTCGTGTCCTCTTTTGGAAGGCCAAACAAAGTAGTTTCCTTTCACAACGAAACACACAGCTTCACACACGGCAGACTTGAGTGAGCGGAGGCCGGCGGGCTTGAGTAAGCGGAGGCTGGCAGGCTTGAGAACGGCGCGGCCAGTGGGCTTGCGGCAACCACATGTGATGACCCCGGGCTGGACTCCGCTTCGTCCACGGTGAAAGCCGATCCGGTGATCCACAGCGCGAAGTTGATGTATTTCCTCAGCGACCAGCACGGATCAGCTCCAGGCATGACGAAGCGGATATCGTCCTCTTTTGGAAGGCCAAACAAAGTAGTTTCGCTTTCACAATGAAACACACAGCGCCTTCTCGACATGGCGGCGGCAACAATACTATATATAGCGAGAATAAAAGTTATGCCTTCTTTCTTTGGGTGAACATTTGGGCGGCATTATGCAAATCTTCCCACATCGTGACGTAGACATGTGGAGGCGTGTTAGAACGAGCCGTTTTAGGTAGGCGTGGTTGACTCTTAACTTTTATAAAGAATATCTCTTTGGATTTGAGACTTTAGTCTTTGCAACTTTACAGATCTTCTTTATGCACCAAGAGCTTGTAACACTTCAAAGAGAAAGGAAAAATTGAAATTGCATCATATGACCCCTTTAACATCTTGTAATTGGGAAAATTGATCATTAAAAGCATTTTAACCTCAAATAGTCACTTCTGGCCAAAATATGTGTCTATAATCCATAATAAGTCCATCCCCTGTTGTCCTCTTGCATCAAAATCTAACAACATTTTTGTTTAGAACTGTTAAGGACTGTTTTTACTTGTAAATGGTGCTCAATCTCTGCATATTCCTCTCCTGATTCAGACAACAAACTCATATGCCTACATTTTGGAGTATTCCGCAAATATTCATTTTTGGTTGAACTATTCCTTTAAGAATCACATTTCATGGTTGTTCACACTTGTTTTTGAAGTGGATCAAAACCGTTCATCAGAGTTGTCCTAAAACCTAAAACCAAAATGTGTTCTTGTCTTAGGACAACTTTGATGAACTTTTTTGATCCACTTCAAATGTTGACTACTGTAATTCAAGAATGCATAAGTTTATTTATGTGTGTCGTATTCAAACAATATGAATGTCACATCATTATGTATGTCAGATGGCAAATAAAATGCTAATAAATCATCATCATCATGTATTGCTTTTATAAAGAATATTTTTTTTACGTTTGTGACATGAAGAGATGAATGAAGCAGAAGTGGTGTGGATTTTGCTTAACACAACAAACCAGCCAACTGCCTCCTGACCTCAAATCACAGTTCACACAATGACCCGCTGTGTCAGGATCAGTGCTGTGACAGTCTCCATCCCGACCCAAGAGGAGAACTGTGTGTGTGTGTGTGTGTTTGCTCGAGCAGTGTTAAATGGTCCTTCTCTCTCTGTAGATTTGGCACTTGGCTGGAGCAGTGGATGAGAAGTTTGTAGCAGATCGGGGAGGGATTGGGAACAGCATCGGCCACAAGTGAGTTGTGTGTAATTGTGATCAAAGGAGCGTGTGTGTGTGTTCATCGATCCAATGTTATTTGAAAGGATATGAACTATTAGTGAGTGTGACATTGTCTTCACAGCTGGAATCTCATTGATCGGCAGCCATGATCACAGGTAGAGATGGTGAAGTGAGCAGGAGAGAGATTGAGTGCACTTATCTGGCCTGCAACTTTCTATAAGAGTACTGTTTGAAAGCGAGTCGTTAAACTGCTGTAAAATAGCATGTCATTAGTAAATAAGGTCACCTATATAAATAGTTGTAGGGATCTGAGAGATAAATAAGATTTAAAGTGATGTAAAACAGTTTCATTTCTCAGCATATTCAAGTTTTGTTTTTTAAATTGTTGAATATCGTGCATAATAATTGATAGTATGTTCATTAGAAGTTGCAGACATGCAAATGACTGACATTTTAAAGGGTCAAATTGTAATATCAGCAGTTTTATTTTAGTATCGAGATACTACTATAGTTTTTATTAATTGTATTTATTTGAATTAATTTTTATTTTTATATTTTTTGTTTTCATTGTAATTTTAGTACAAAAATAATTTTGGGGTTTTTGATTATTTTATTATCATTTTTGTTTATTTGTTTTCTTTTTAAATATGTCTATAGTTTTTTTAAATTTTTATTTCAGTTTTAGTTTAGTATTTTAATGTCAAGTTAAACTAAATAGAAATGAGAAATCTTTCATTGACAACTACTTGAAATAAAATACATGAATTTTTACTTTTATATATACAGTATATATTTTTTATTTTAATATGTATTTTTATTTCAAGTAACACAAATGGATTTCATTAATTTTATTTAACTATAATAATCATAAATATCCCTGCTTTTTTGGGAAGGTTTACAATGTATTGTAACTCCATTATTTGTTGGTCAGATAAGTCCTCATAGTCTCTCTCCACACATAAGCCTACTAAAATATATTTAATATTATGTTAATGTTAACTAAATATACTTACAGTTGTTGGGAAATCCTTTGGGTTTTATTAAGTTGGTTTTTTAATTACGTCTATGGGACATTGTAGACATAAAATGCTGCTAAGGGTAAATTCTGCAGTTGCTACAGGCTTATATTAGTACTTCAAAATTGCAAAGGCTCTCTATTATGTGTAGCTTGGAGTTAGCCTGCAAGCTAATACCTTACAAAGATAATGGGCTTTTTCTGCGACTGCAGATTGTACCTGAAAGCCGATGATGATTTGCATGTTCATGGGCTGTCAGAGGTAATTTGTTAACTCAGTGTCCCCTGATTTACTTCTTTGGAATCATTTTCTCATATTTATGTTTGGAAATGAGTGCTAAATTAATCCACCACCATGGTTGTATTGAGATTAAAATCCGACTCAGATTTACTGAAGGCAATGCTGTGAGAGGGGGGAGGAGGAAAGGGAGACTTGGGGGAAGGGCGCTGGATTAGGGACAGATCGTGTCCTCTTACGGCACAGCTGTTGCAAGCGAGTGACTATCATTGCTGGAGGCCTCTACAAACTGACCTCAGATCAGACTAGGCTACTGTCTCAGTATTAAACCGAGAAAGGTTTATTTTAGACCAGCCATTTGGATGAGCTATGACTATGACTTCTGAATATGTCTTTTTCCAAATTGGCACAGTTTGGCCATGCTATGCTATTTTGAATATAGTTGTATATACAGTTTATTTATTATTATTGTTGTACAATTTATTATTGTATTATTATACAATTTATTTATTATTATTATTGTTTTGCCTATTTAAAAACATTTTTTTTATTATTTCTTACTTTTCAATTATAATTGTTTGGAAAATAATCTAAATTCTATTAGTTTAGTTTTTCATAATTTAGGAACTGAATGTCCAGTTTTAAAGGGTTAGTTCACCCAAAAATGAGAATTCTGTCATTAATTACTCCCCCTCATGTCGTTCCAAACCCATAAGACCTTTGTTCTTCTTGGGAACACAAATTAAGATACTCTTGATGAAATCTAAGAGCTTTCTGACTCTGCATAGACAGCAGACAACAGACCATGTTAAAGGCCCAGAAAGACAGTAAGGAAATCGCTAAAATAGTCCATGTGACACGAGTGGTTCAACCATAATTTTATGAAGCTACGAGAATATTTTTTTGTGTGCAAAGAAAACAAAAATAACAACTTTATTCAACAATTTCTTCTCTTACGATTACAAACAGTATTCTCGTAGCTTCATAAAATCAAGGCTGAACCACTGATGTCACATGGACGATGTCCTTACTACCTTTCTGGGCCATAAACGTGTTTACAGTATATATATATATATATATATATATATAAACACACACACATACATTTTTTTATCGGAAATGTAGAAATATGTACATTGCTTTTCAAAAATTTGAGGTCAGTAAGGTATTTCTTAAGAAATTAATATTTATTTGTTTGTTAAAAATAAATATTTATTTATTAATTCATTCATTATAATTATATATTTATTTTTAGCAAGGAATGTTGCTGTTTTTACTGTAATTTTTAAACAAATGAATGAAGCCTAGGTAAGAGATTTCATTAAAAACATTAACAAATCTTAAAAGACCCCTAAACTTTTACAGTAGTGTATTTTTATACATTTCCGATAGCTAAATATTTAAATCGAAGCTTTAATAATTAGTGCCAGTGGTTATGTGCAAAGAAACCAAGTTGACTCGTTCCTAAAATATGCATGATGTTTGAAAATTGTATGAATCCAGAATTAGGTGGTTATTGCTTGCTTAATCAGGTTGATTGGAATACTTGGTTCACTATGATGGTCATGAAATGAAACTAAATGAACTAAAGATCATAATGTGTCATCGCTTTCAGAGTAAAACTATGTGAGCTGCTGTTAATACATCCAGCAAGCTAATGCATTTGACCCCAGCTAACATTATCAGCACTAAAACACTACAGCCTACCAGCTAATTCAGTCCAAGCATTAAACATTATACAATCGATACATGCATTCAAAGCTTTTGACTGTTGGCAGAATAACTGTGGCCTGCTCAAAACGTGACAGTAAATATGAACCTCCTTCAGATACAGATCATTTGGTCTCGTGTTGAAGATTTTTTCACTGTGAAAGCCCAGACACGACAGCATGGACTTGCAGTATGTTTATGAGCAGGATTGGGACAAAGAGAGTGAGACTTCCAGAAAAATCAGCGGGAGACATGTTGAATGAGGGTGGGTGAATCTCAGGTTGGCCCCTCAGTCCCCTGGTTTGAGAGCTTATATAAGAACACTTATGTAAGATCCAGTGGGGGGCTTAACTGGGCGATGGGCTGTCTCTGATGTGAGGGGGTGGAGTCTGAAGCAGCAGGAGGGGATTGTGGGATTAGATGTTTAGAGGGAGGGCTGTATGTGTGTTTTTAAGTGAAGCGCTAGTAAGAGGATCTGTGTATGTGTATGTATGTGTATGTGTGTCTCCACATCTGTGTTTGGTCGGTGTCTGGAATACTCTCTCTACATTCTTTGTCTGGATGTTTCTCGTCCTCTTTTTCTGTCTTTCTTTTTTCACTCTTCTACCTCCTGCCGCTTTTTTATAGAGTCAGGGTAGAGAGTTGTCTAGGTTTTTATTTGATCAGTCTCTTTGCTTTCAATGGCAAGTCAGCATTTTTCTTGCGGTTCGGTAGAGCAGAGGTCAGATTTGACCGCAGGAATGATTCTCACTGTGGGCGAAACGTTCTCAAACGGAGCAGGTTCTGACTCGGATGCCGGGGGCATTGGAGAAACTGGGGAGGGGGCGTCTGAACTTGTTGAAAGCGCAGACACTTCTGGAGGTTAGAGATCTAATTGTTTTTTCATATCCTCTGTAATTATATGTTCAGATGTGAATGGCATTTCATGGCTCTTAGAGGAGGGGTGTGAAATACTTTAACCAAACCAAAAGAGAACATGAGTGGGTTGCCAGGTTGTGTGCCGACCAGAGCAGAGAACGTCGCTTGTAGCAATGGTTTGACAGATGTGTTGTATATTTGTTCCATTTATGTATTTATATATTGTATTAATGGAAATCCATGCAGAGTTTGAGGGTGAGAGAGGATCTCTTGCAGAACTTGAGAGAAAAATGTAATGTATAAATTACATATGATTCAATCAACACAGAAACATTCATTTGTTGTCTAATAGTGAACAGATATTTTTTAGGTGGTGAAATGCAATTAAACAAAAATCACAGACAAACGAACACTCTAAATACAAGGGAAACTACTGCTGCCTCAAATTAGTTACCTGCACATTTAGTGTTCTCGTATTTGATGGACTGTTTCTTTTTTTGCTGAATTCACTAAATTGCTAGTTAATGAACCTAAATCAGTAAATTTTTAAATATTATTATTATTTTTTTATCAGCCAATCCTTCATGGGCCACAGTTTGAGAATCTGACTTATTAGAAATATTGCTTTTTTCAGTTTTTTTTTTCTTCAAACTTCCCTCATTCATTGGAAAAAAATATTCAGTTGATGAATTTATTTAATACACGAGTTTCACAATTTGAGTTGAATTACTGAAATAAATGAACTTTTCCACGACATTCTAATTTATTGAGATGCACCTGTATATTGTAACACAAGATTTCCATTTTGAATAAATGCTTAAAAAAAATTTTTTGTTTATTTTATATTCATAAAAGAATCCTGAAAAAAGTATCACAGGTTCCAAAAATATTTTTTTAAAGGATATTAAAATAGTATAAAAAATACAGAAAAAACTGTTATTTTGTGAAATATTATTGCAATTTAAAATAACAGTTTCTATTTTAATATACTTTAAAATAAAATTTATTCCTGTGATAGCAAAGCTGAATTTTCAGCATCATTACTCCAGTCTTCAGAGTCACATGATCCTTCAGAAATCATTCTAATATGCTGATTTATTATCAATGTTGGAAACAGTTGTGCTGCTTAATGTTTTTTGGAACCTGTGATACTTTTTACAGGATTCTTTTATGAATATAAATACAAAATAAAAAAACAGCATTTATTCAAAATGGAAATCTTGTGTTACAA